CGTTCTTGATGACACATAGTGACCCTGGATAGTTGTTTGGTAAATTTACTAATTGAGTTTTCAGAAAATTGGCCCCTGGCTATTAACTTGGAGAAACTGTTTTCCTGCACTTAACTCCAGCTTAACCTGCCTCATAGGGATTTCAGAACGTTTGAACTACAGTTTGAAAACGTGGAATCTGTAATTGACTTTCTTCTCTTCATCCTCTTTATTTTTCACATCCATTCGATATATATACATTGTCATCTGGATTAATAATTTATTACTGTACAGCTAATTACCCCCAAACTTAGCAGCTGAAAGCAACTAATGTTTATTATTTCACAATTTCTATGAGTCAGAGATTTTGGGACCAGCGTAGATGGGTGGTTCTGGCTTGGTGTCTTTCGTGAGGTTACAATCAGGATGTCAGTCAGGGCTGCAGTTAACTAAAGACTTGATGTCAATCTGGGGATGGAGAATCCTCTTCAAAAAGGATAGCTGTTAGCTAGAGATCTCAGTTTCTTATAGGTGATGGACAAGAGGCTTCTGTTTATTGCCTTGTGTGTCTCTCCATAGGGCTGTTGAGTATGCCCTTATCCTGACAGCTGGTGTTCCAGAGGGCAATTGATCTAAGAAAGAGGAAAGCAGCCACAGGTCCTTTTATGATTTGTATGGTTTGGCTGTGTCCCCACCCAAATCTCATCTTGAATTATAGTTCTTATAATCCCCAGGTGTCATGGGAAGGACCTGGTGGGAAGTAATTGAATCACGGAGGCAGTTACTTCCATGCTGTTCTCGTGATAGTGAGTGAATTCTCAGGAGATCTCATGGTTTTATAAGAGGCTTTTTCTTTTTTGGTAGGCACTTCTCCCTGCCATCATGTGAAGAAGGACATGTTTGCTTCCTCTTCTGCCATGACTATATTTCCTGAAGCCTCCTTAGCCATGCAGAACTATGAGTCAATTAAACCTCTTTCCTTTATAAATTACCCAGTCTCAGGAAGTTCTTTATAGCAGCATGAGAATGGAGTAATACAATGACCTAGTCTGAAAAGTCAAGCATTGTTACTTCTCCCATATTCTATTCCTTAAAAGTGAGTTACCGAGTCCTACTCATATTGAAGGGGAAATCTAAACTCTGCCTCTTGAAGGGAGGAGTATCAAAGAATTTTAAAACCACCACACCACCTAAACAGGGCACACCAGCATAGGCTCCCAGGGCAGAACTGTTCTCCAGGCCTGCTAAAGTGACATGTTCTCTGGAAAGACCTCCTTCACTTCTCTAACCATATTCATTTTTTTTCTTCTCTCAAACCTGGATAACACAGCATCTCATCACTTTGAGTATGTTGTCTTTGATTGCTGTAAATCACTATTTCATGTCTATATTTCATTTCTCCCTAGTAAAATGTTAATTGTCCCAAACTTTATCTGCTCTAGAGGTGATTCCATTTTAGGAAAATTACTGGTGCTCAGTAAATGAAGAAGGGAGGCTGTCCAGCATGGTGAATGAGAGCAGGGCTTTAGAGTCCAGGAGTCTTAGGTTCCAATTGTGACTTCATCATTGTAAGACTTTGGAAAGCTATTACACAGGGGCCACTATTAGAATGTAGTGCACAAGCCTATTGTGAAGATTTCATGGGTTAATACATGTTAAGAACATAGGAAAGGATACACAAATTGTAGGTATTGTCACCGTATTGTTGCTGTTTATAGTTTTTTCACATGTCCTTAGGCCATTCTTTATATTTTATATATATAAAATATACAACATATATGTCATATATAACTTATATAAGTCATATATATGTGATATATATATTATATATAACATACATAAGTCATATATATGTCATATATAATGTTAATTATCTGAAACTTTATCTGCTCTAGAGGTGATTCCATTTTAGGAAAATTACTGGTGCTCAGTAATATGTTTATATATGTTATATATAAAACATATATGTTATATGACATATATAACATACATATTATATATTATATATGACATATATAACATA